CTGTTCCATCACAAAGACATTACAGATCAGAATTGCCATCATAGCTCTACTTTGCATCTGCCTTTTCCATACAGAAATGATGATTTTTTTCTTTTCCTCAGTTCTGGCTACCATTTCATGATTATTTTTTTTTTTTTAGCCCATGATACTGGTAACAGAATAAAACTTATTTCAATGTTCCTTGCCTTTTGAAAGTGTTTTATTTTCTTTTTTTCTTTCTGTCTCTTGTTCTTGCATTGTTTATTTGTTTTGTAGGTTGTTAGTTTGCTTTTGCTTTCTTTACCAATATCCGTGAATTCACAAAGTACTTTGACTTTCCAAAACATTTGAAGTTCATTAATGCAAGTGATTGAAGTGTTTAAAATGTACAGTTTAGAATCAGGTGCATAGGATGCTGAGGAACTTACTACCAAGGAATGCACGTTTCTGATCCATGCTACTGCCGTGTTCAGTTCTGCAAGGAGCATACAGTAGTACTTGAAGTATGCTAAATTAATGGATTTGGTGATCTTTCCAGTGTTCACAGAAGTCATATAAAATTATTTGTGCATCTGTGTAAATTCTTGAAGTGACACTAGGTTAATAACACAGAATTGTTAAAGCTGTAAGCTGATAAAATCTGCTTTTAGAAAACAAACAAACAAACAACTATTTGTCTTACTGACAGCTGTCAGGATGTGCTTAGTTCATTATTAGTAATGTATAAATGTTCATGGAGACCATAAGAAGCCACCTTCATGTTCTGAAGATCCTTCTTATAAAAAGTATGTCCTTATGCATCATTTGATTTTCTGAAACATTGCTACTTCGAAGTTAATCTCTGCCTTTAGAAATATACAATCTTTCTGTGAAAGTGGGGAAAAAGTAGATCTGGAGGATTTAAAACATTACATCACAGAAGGAAGTCTTAGGCAAACATTCAGATGTTAATGGACCTATGATTTGAGTATCACAGTAGTCCCTCCTTCCCTCCCTCCCTCCCTCCGTCCCTCCTTCCCTCCACAGAATTTGAACCTTCTTAGGTAGGACTCTTTCTGTAGTACAATAGCAACTTCCAGAGAAAGTGTTTTAGTGTTTTGATTTTGAAAATATTCTACTAAAATATTCCACTAAAGTACTATTTATTCTAAAACACTAAAATTTTCTACTATAAAATATGCTACTAAAATATTGTACTTATCCTAGTTCTTTCTTTTTTTTTTTTTTCCCTTAGAATTTTAGAAGATTTTGAATTCCTGCAGAATTATTTGCACAGTTATTTTGTAAACATTTGTAAGAGTTTACCAAAGCAAATAAATTGGCTTTGTTTTTAAAAGTGGTGGTAAGGAAGGACAGGAAGTGTTATGGCCTGCCATAACATTTACTGCAATAATCGATTAGACATAACTGCCTGTAGAACTAATATATAACTTCTTCTTGACATGCTTCTGGTGAGTTGTATTATCAACTTTTTCATTTTCTCTGAAGCAAACTAGCTGTCAGCTACTTGCAGGCTGAAGCAGACTGTTAGGTCATGTGGCCCAGTAAACTGACTCAGTCTGGCATCTGGTATTGGATGTGATTCAAGAATACTGTCACAGTTTCTGCATAGATTTACACAATGTACTTCACAATGCTCTCCATCTTATTATTCATACTTGATTTTTTTTGTCAGTCTTTTCCTTTGCCATATGTGTTATTGTTTGTACACATTAACAAGAATTATGGGATAATGTGCCTTTATCTGCCATTACAGAAAAAAAACAGTCATAGTTTTTTGCACCAACAGAGTTTATTGCAAGAAATGATTAACTTTACACTTACGGTAGATTTGTCCAATGATCTGACCCTAAAATTGTCTCTGTGTTACTTAGTAGAGAGGATAACAGAATATATTTGAAATGAATCATTTGCATTTTCAAACCTTTGTGGTATTTTTAGCATTCAGAATTTACAGAGAAAATGTAGTAGTGAAGAAAATTCATATGAATACACTTGTTTGTACCACATAGTCTTAATAAATTTAAATAATTCTGAAATGTAAACATATTAGGGGAGTTTCAATAAGATTTTTGCAGTTACGCTCTTGTCTTGTAGTTGTGTTCAAATAGCAAAGCAGGAATTAAAAAATAAGTACAAATCAGGAGGAAAAATGGAATACCAGAACAAGACTACTGGTGCATACAGTGTCAGAAAAAAATACCCTATTGCAAATTTTCCATATGTTCTTCAGCACAAAATGTGTGTTTTCTCCTAATGCAATACAGTATGTAGCGTATAAAACCAAGATACACTTGCATGTGTTTATTCTTTAGCTTAAACTGCTTTCTTGAAAATTTTAAGCATTCCGTGCCAAGACTATTTTCTAGTGCTGTGAAAGCCCCTGTTCACTGATGAAAAGTTGGACTAGATGACCTTTAAATGTCTCTTCCAACTCAAATACTGTGGTTCTGAGTCCAACCAATGTTAGTTCCTCTCTGTCTGTCCTTGCATCTGAATGTCAACGTTGCATCTCTTTTTATTGCTGGAGAATTTAGTTCAATTTAAATTAAAGCAATCAGCTACTTAACTACAGTAATTAGATGCTTTGTAATGTTTAATTGCCCCACAAATTGGATAGCTCAATATGGGTTACAAATAAGTATGCATTTGCCCATTGTCCAGTAACAGCATTTGAGGAGCCTATAACATAGTACGGTTTGATGAAATAAACACAATGTGACAAATCCTAGCTAATGCAATTCTGGTTAAATCAAAGAAATGATTTTTAGATTATACCATCTGAGTGATATTTCTGAAGCACAGTAAACACAACTAAACTACAGAATTGCTCATGCTACTAATTGCCAAGTCCAGTAAATTTGAGATTTGCTTGTGCTTGTCTTCTTATATCCTTCTTTCATTCTTTTAGCAGCCATTGTTTTGATTTCTTCTTGTTATATTTTTTTATTTTTTCCCCTATTGGTGGAAAATAAAAAGTATAATTATTTCTCTATATTATAATCCTAGCTTGATTTGTTACTAATTGAATGTAAACCCTTCAGCTTCAGAGAGACTCAGCCATCTCAGCTTTAGTTCCAAGTCTGATAACTGGATATAGGAGAAGAGGCAATATTCTTTGCATGGTTTCCTGTTTACAAATCCTTGCTTGGATATTATATTCTTCTTCCTTATGATATTCCTTTGTCCAGGAGTATGGAGCAAGGGGGACATTGTAATAAAGCCCAGACATACTTTGTTTAATACAGTGAAATAAGTAAGAAAATGCTGAGATTCCCTTTATAAAATTACATTTTTTTCTGTGAGCTTTCTCAGCATCTTTTTGATTTATTATTTTGTTTCACTACATTTGTGTCTGTAAGCCTCTAACTGATAATGGAAGAAAAATAGCAAGTTTCAGATGAGCAAGGTATAATGGAACAGCAGGACGCTTGCGAGCTGCTTAAATTAAAATGATGAGGAAGAAATAGATATTAATTATCTCAGGCTCCATTATCTTTCATTTCACAAGCAGGGAATATTTAACTCCCCAGGAAGAAAAGAATTAACTTCCTTTGAATTTTTCCACCGTAAACCAGTGCTCAAGAAGCAAAATGCTTCCTTTCAGACTGGAGAAATAATTTAAAATCCCATATAGGGGTAACTAGATGAAAGATCAGAATCCGGTATGTTCACTGAGCAGGAATGATGAAATGAAAAGGTAGACGAAGAAGAGACTATGTTTATGTTCGCTCTATCCCACAAACTTTGACCTCCTCCACAGTTACAAGGACCTACTTTCAATTTCAAGGCAATAGCTATAAATGTTAATAATTGCCTTTACCTCTTTCTCTGTGGCTTAGCTTCTTGCCCCATTACCAAAACCATTATGTTTTTCAGTAATTCACTCTCTACATAATCTCATTTCATGTCCCATGTTTCCTTTATTGTGTTTCACCTTGGACAGTACATCATGTAAATAAAGCCTATATCCATAATCTGCTTAAAGAGAATTCACTCTTGAAAACGCCATTCCAACTTGTGTCCATTATAGCAGATCTCTTTAGACCTCATTAGGTGGGACAAGCAGGTGAGTATTTTAAAAGCTATTTCAGCATCTGCGATGTAACCTTGAGTATGTATTCAGAACTTCTAGTTGTATTTAAAGGATGAGCATGAATCAGATGAAGACATTGAGAAAGATGTTCATCGGACCATATTTCTACTTCAAAAATGCCTACATTTTCTGTTAAAGACAGTGTTATAGTAGACAATGATCAAAAGGACAAACACAAATTCTTGGAGATTTTTAAGTATTTTCTCAAAGTAGAAATAGAGATTTAACATTCAAATAGGCTGGAGAATGTGCAAATTGATACTGAAGATGAAAATGATTGAGTTAGAACTGACTTTTTTTATCTGTATTTTTCCAATAGGGAAGAGAAAGCCTAGCTTCAAACTATTTTCTCTGTATCTTAGAAAGCATAGAAATAAATGATCTACTATTTGTGGAAAAGAGGTAGTACTTTTAAAATCTGTTTCATATGTATTATGATGGAAGAGCAGTGCATTGTCCTTTTTAAACCAGGTTTGACTTTGAGTTTGTTTAGCATTTCAACAAGCTGTGTGTGAAATGAAAATGAGCTGATTCTCTTCTACTTCTGTGAAAGTCAAATGCCTGTGAAGAATTTTGACACCCTCTCATGTCATCTCACATTTGTTTGATGCAGTTATTGCTGTTTTTCCATTATTGGTCTTAGGTTTTGGTTTCTAACAAATCCGAATCCCTTTTTCATTGCAGTTTTAGTACTGAGCAGCATTCATGGCAGAAAACAGGTTTGAAATGCTGCCTGTCCTAGATACCAGATAGAGCTAAAAATATTAATTAACATTCTACTTGCATTTTTTGTGTGCACTTATAGACATAGGAAATTGGTTCCTCTAACACCTTTTATTTTACATAAGAGAAAAATAATAATTACTTTCAAGCTAGAAAAAGCAATTAATGTTTCTTTCCTCCTTTTTTTCTTTTTGTTCTCAAGCTTCATTCTGATTTGGACAAGGGAGTGGGCACTGTTAAATATACCCTTTCAGGAGATGGTGCCGGCACTGTTTTTACTATTGATGAGACCACAGGAGACATTCATGCCATAAAAAGCCTAGATCGAGAAGAAAAACCTTTCTACACACTCCGAGCACAGGCTGTGGATGTTGACACCAAGAAGCCACTAGAGCCTGAATCAGAGTTCATCATCAAAGTGCAGGACATTAATGATAATGAGCCAAAGTTTCTGGATGGGCCTTACATTGCCAGCGTACCAGAAATGTCTCCAGTGGGTAAGAAGCTTTAAACTCTTGATAACTAATTGCATAACTCTTGATAACTTAATTGTCTCAATATGCATTTCCTGCTGAGGAGAGAAAGGGAAGGCTGAAGTGAAAATACGTCTTCAAAAAGTTACTGTTAGAAACGTCTCACTCTGTACTTAGAAATATGCAGATTGCCGTTTCTTTTTTTTTTTTTTTTTGCTTTATTTGCTTGTTTAATAAGTTATTGTCCTACACAGATGAGTCCTTTTAACTTTTAATTCCTGAAGACGTGAAAAGAATAGAAATAGTACTCATGGCAGATATTCCTTCAGAGATTCTGTACTCTCAGACATGATATGGCATGTGATGAAGTGTGTTCCCTTTTATTCCTTGTTTGTGTTCATTATTTGCTGTGAAACATCTTGCCGTTTCTTGTTCCTGCCTCTGTTGCTGCACAACTAATAGCATTTGCATAATCCCATAGTTATGATATGCAGCAGAATTCTTTATCCTGTTACCTCATAGGTGCTAAAAGTACTGATAGCCCTCACCTGGCAGTCACAAAGAAAAATAGAAGTGGGGGAGATCCAGCCAGACTTGGCTGTGGTCTTGAATACCTATTATTCAAGATATTGAGTGCACTAGATTCCTAAGCCAGAAAAACAACAACAACAACAACAACAACAGAAGATTGATTGCAAACATGGTAAATTTTCATATCCATAAATGTTACGATAGGAGCAGAGAATTGTAGAATCATATAATTGTTTTAGTTGGAAGTAGTCTCGAAAAGTTATTTGGTCCAACTTCCCTGCAATGAACAGGGACATCTACGCTCAGATTATGTTGCTCAGAGCAGAGAATGGCTTGAGGGTAGCCCTGAAGAGAAGGATTTTTGGGGTGTCAGTTGATGAAAGATTCAAAATGAGCTGTCAAGGTCCACTTGTAGCCCAGAAGGCCAACTGTATCCTAAGCTGCATCAAAAGAAGTGTGATCAGCAGGTCAAGGGAGGTGATTCTGCCCCTTTTCTCTGCTCTTGAGACATCACCTGGAGTACTGCTTCCAGTTCTGGGGCCCCAAACACAAGAACTTGAAGCTGTTGGAGCAGGTCTAAAGGAGGGCCACAGAAATGAACAGGGGGCTGGAGCTCCTCTCCTATGAGTTCAGGCTGAGAGATCTGGATATCTTCAGCCTAGAGAAGAGAAGGCTCTGAGGAAACCTTGTAGCATCTTTCCAACACCAGAAAGGAGACCTACAAGAAAGCTGAGGAGGAGCATGGTAGCAACAGGACAAGGGAAATAGCTTTAAACTGGGTGGAGGTAGATTTAGACTAGATATTAGGAAGAAATTCCTTACTGTAGGGATGGTGAGACACTGGAACAGGTTGTTGAGTGAGGTTGTGGATGCTCACTCCCTGGAAGGATTCAAGGCCAGGCTGGATGGGGCTTTGAGCAACCTGGTCTAGTAGGAGGTGTCCCTGCCTATAGTAGAGGGATTGTAACTAGATGATCTGAAAGGTCCCTTCCTATACAAACTATTCTATGATTCTATAAACTATGGATGTTTGGTAAAATACTAATCATGGTTTGGTTTAATGGGGAATTCTTTTCAAAGTATGCTATGCACTATAGCTTTTACATTGACTGTGATTTGCAAGACTGAAATGTAAATGACTATTATGCAACCTGCAGACATCTACGTAAAATAAATAGATTTCAGTGTATTCTCCTTTGGAAAAACAACAGCAAATGCTATGGCAAGAATACATCCTCTTGACCTCCACATTATTCTGGCACATGCACTACCTCTAAAAGATTTACTCATAACAGTTTATTTTCCTCCATAGCAAAAATTAAAGATGGATGAAAATTGATCAGAAAAGTCTAGTCAAGGAAAAAATATTCTAAATGGAGACCTAAACTCCAATTAGTGGTTACTAAAGGTTTTGCTGCTGGGTTGTCTTACTGCAAAAATACAGACAAATGCCTTCTATGATGTGCGAGGAGATAGTGCCTTCTCAGATCCAGGTCTTCCCACTTCCGTTCACTCTCTTATCACTGCTCTTGCTACCACAGCCAAGCTCAGAATTTTCAGAGGATTTAACTGTTACTGCTTCCCATTATCAGTACTATTTAGTTGCACCTATAGAAGTGCCTAGATCTACCATTGTCTGAGGATAACGTAGAAAATCACTTTGATTTTTTAGCTAGTGTTTTTTAGCTAGTGCTAGCATATGGTTGCTTTGGCAGAAGTACTAATAAACATGTCCTGGTTTTTTTTATACTAAGATTTTTTAGTCATCAGTTTTGAAGTTCCTAATATTTTAAACTTCACTTACTATATTTTTGCAACAGTGTCTATTATGAAATGCATGCATGCACATTGTTTGTCTTCTGTGGGAAACACGCTACAACATGATTCTTTCCCCCCTTTCTAGTAATTTCTATGACAGGTGATGATGGCCAACAGTTTACTGTTTTTTATTGTTGCACGATACTCACATGCAAAGATTAACTGCATAGAAACTTATGCTAGATCATCATAGAATGGCCTAGGTTGAAAAGGACTGTAATGATCACCTAGTTTCAACTCCCTGCTACAGGCAGGGTCACCAACTACTAGACCAGAGCCACATTCTGTCTGGCCTCGAATGCCTACAGTGATGGAGCATCCACAACCTCTTGGGCAACCTGTTCCAGTGCATCACCACCCTCTGAGTGAAAAACTTCCTCCTAATGTCTAACCTAAACCTCCCTGGTCTCAGTTTAAAACCATTCCCCCTTGTCCTATCGCTATCCACCCTCATAAACAGCCATTCCCCCTCCTGTTTATATGCTCTCTTCAAGTACTGGAAAGCCACAATGAGGTCTCCCCAGAGCCTTCTCTTCTCCAAGCTAAACAAGCCCAGTTCTCTCAATCTTTCTTCACAGGGGAGGTGCTCCAGTCCTCCGATCATCTTAGTGGTCCTCTTCTGGACTTGTTCCAAGAGTTCCAAGTGTCTTTCTTGTGCTGGGGGCTCTCGGTCTGGATGCAGTACTCCAGATGGTACCTCAGAAGAGCGAAGTAGAGGGGGAATTAATTGGTAATGATGAGCAGAATATAGACAAAGTTCAGAGAGAAACAGCAAGTAAAATTCTTAAGACAACACCTACTGTAAACACAGAGTATATATTCCATTTGGACACTGCAGTAAAGTTACATATGCAAAATACCTTTTAAGTACCACACTCTGTAGTGGTGGGAGAGGAATGTCTTATGAAACAAGGTGTCCTTCAGAGCCCTTACACACTGTTCAGAAATTTTCATAGCTACACTGTTCCCAGTTTTATAACATCTATTAATTGCGGTCACTGAAACTTTGGTAGCTGAAAATATACCATAGCATTCATTCCCAGATTCAGAACTCTAGTCCTAAAGCTATAATAAAATCCTGTGCCTTAGTGATAGAAAAAGATATAAAGATTCGTAGGATCCTAGTATCAGGTTTTCTGAATATAGATAATGTTTAGAGATACTATGAGACATTTGGATACAGCACCTATATTTTCTAATAACTGTGTTATTGTCTATACATGTTTTAGGTGAAAATTTGACTTTTTCCATGCAAATTTTCCTTGAAATTATATTAAATTTATTCTACACTGTCTGTAGACCGAGGTTTTTTCTTTGATTGGTTTTTGGTTTGTGTTTTTTTTTGTTTGTTTGTTTGTCTTTTTTTTTTTTTTTTGGTTGATAGGTTTTTCCCTGTAGTCACTACTGCTCCTTAAAAAATATTAAGATTGTGCTCATCTTTTAGATTTTTCTGAAGACAAGATAATTTTGGGACTACCATTTCTATTTAATGATGCATTCTTTACTGGGAACCAAATTTCTTCATGTGCTATTTACTCAGAAAAAGCAACATCAGCAGGATGCTTTCTATGCTTTAAAACTAATTTAAGACACCTGCAAAACAGAATACCTACCTGTTTTACATCAGAAGCAATTAACCTCACACCTTCCACACATGGGGTGTAATCTACTCAAGTACAAAAAGGGGTTACAAATAGATCTATCACAGATACAGACAAAAGAAGTACTACTTGAAAAGCGTCTTAGTTACAGACTGCTGTATCATGCAGGCTACTTTACTAATGTATGATTTTCATTTTTGAGATACTTTGTAAGTGTGAATAGTTTCTATACTGTAGTGGAAGGGTGCTGTTATCTCAGAAGCTGACATCATTGCTCACATAACCATTGGAGCAAGGAGCTGCAAAATACAGGAACTGTATGACAAAGTTTGGTTTGTTTGTTTTTTTTTTTTTTTTTTTTTTCTCCTTTATTCTGGTATTTGTTTGATTTAGCCATCTTTATCTGAAAATGTTATTTTGAAATAATGCGAATGCCAAAATGTAGCACAAACCAGAAATGGAAATCTCCATGTATGAAGACTGAGAAGGGGAAGGTAACTTCTAAGTAACTTCTAAATTTGTAAGTTAGAAAAATATGTTGTCTTTAAATATAGCTTAATTAATTTTGTTGCTGATTCTGGTGGCTGTACCAGCTCCTGCTCTTGAGAGAATGCAAATGCAGAGTAGGTTTAAACACAAGTTATCCCATTATTGAAACTTCATGTCCAAGTGAATCAGAACTACAGCATACCAGCATTAAAAACACGCTGAAGGAAAGAGCTAAATATGTATTTCATAGATAAAGATATGTACAGAGATATCTGCATTTCTTTAAATAGACATATTTCAATTGATCATCTTAACAATGTATTACATGTGACTAATTTATGACTTCTGCCACAATTTGCTGTTTGTTCTCTAAGGTGCTGCCATTATTCCTCTATGCTTACAGCTGGGACTGTACTAAACTCATTAATTCCCTAAGTTACAGATACCATGTGTTCCTTCCCAGGCAATTTAGTTCCATACCTTTCCACTAGATTAACTCTTTATTGCTTTGGGGAGCTCTACAAACTACAGGTCATCATGGCAGTTCTTTTGCCCTTTTGGTTATTAATTAAATAGTAATGGAAT